TAATAGCAGCTTTGAAGAATCCTGTCCATCCTTCCATTAGTGTCTTATAATTACAGCTATGGGCAGGAAGGATCTTCCCTCTTGTGCAAGGTGATCAGCCTGCGGGACAGGGACTGATGCATTCACAATGAGAAGCTTATCACTGGTTTATCTCCCAGGGTTTCCAGACACCATGTAGGCAGCCTGAGCAGGCATGTATTCTGTGCCACAATTAGGCAATTCTGCTCCAGAGGTAAACAGCTCCAGTTTGGGATAAGAAAAGCATCAGCCCGTCAACTGGAGCCTGAGTGTACGTCTGGAGTAGAAGGGACTTGGCTTTGTTTTTGTTGAAGGGAAAGGTAACAAGGTTAATATCTGGGTGCTTCTAGTTTGTAAGAACTGAATCCAATTACCTAATTGTGGCACAGAATACATGCCTGATGCTCAGGCTGCCTACATGGTGTCTGGAAACCCTGGAAGATAAAACAATGATAAGCTTCTCATTGTGAGTGCATCAGTACCTGTCCCACAGGCTGATCACCTCCCACAAGAGGGAAGATCTTGAACCAACTTATTTGTCAATGTGGAACTTGGAAGCATTGTCCATCATCTAGATGGAATGCCTACGGATGTGGTGTAAGAATGCCAGGCATGCTCTTGGTAGGGCATTGTGCTTGAAAAACATTAAAGTTTTGCTTCTCAAGAAGACTAGAGATCTTGTGATAAGGAAGTGAAAGGAAGCATCCATTATGAGTATCACCAATGTTGAAGGGGGAGAAATGGGACCCCATTATATATGGTACCTTCCACCATACAGTTCATCTGAAGGATGATGGAGTCTCAGAAAGTGGGATGCATTTCTTGACCATGCTCATCAAAGATTTTGAGCAGTCAAAGATGGTAAATGGAAAGTGCTGCACAGGTCTGTTTCCTCTTACGAAAGTGCTGGATCTTTTCTGAGGCTCTTGGGGGCAGCACGTGACCACAGGAGAAGAGGGCTGCTGACATTTACTCTGCATGGAGTAAGAATGGTATCTCTTTTTTTCTTTTAGAGGCAACATGTGTACCACAAAGAACCTATGGGTGACCTGGAGTCTTAGTGGATGTGCAGTGAGCTTCATCAGTCTTGAAGGGGGAAGTCCTCCACAGTATTCTGCATTTCCATTGGGAAACAAGACTCCCGAGCCAAGAAACCTGCTTCACAGCCATGGCCATGGATAATGAGGCACTATCTGCTCCATCAAAGACAGCCTACAGATTGGTCCTGGGCACCAAATGACCTTTGCAAAGAAAGGTCAGTTCCGAGTCAGAATTGCTTGCTACAAAATGATCAGAGGCATTCAAAACTGCATCATGCTAGTCAAGCCTAATAACTAGCCACCCTAAAACTGTAGGCTAGAAAAGGATAATTACTTTTTTCTACAGGAAGTTCATCTATTGGATTCCTTGTCCTTCAGGGTACTGGAAAACTGTTTTGCCTTCTCATCCACAACAGAGTGGTTAAGAGCATTCAGTGTCACTTGTCCATTCTCCTAACAGGGGCATAGGTACCAGGCACTTCCCAGAAACTTTGTGGGGTCCATAATAGCTTTGTATATAGCAAGGGTAAACTTTGGGGGAACAGACTGTTGCAGGATGTGGCTGAAGAAGGGGAAATTAAAGACCAGGAAGCCAAGTATTATCTGCTAGGTGAGAAATGCAAGGCCAAAAAGTCTGTACTGAGAAAGTCAGAAATATCTGCAGAGCACACAGGCCAAGAAAAAACTATGTTTGTGCTTTAAGGGAATCCTGCTTCTGTTACTGAACTAGTTAAGGGAACCTCAGTCTTCAGAATCAGAAGGGAGGAAACTGACACTGCAAGTTCCATTGACAGCTCTGATGACCTAAAACCAGTGATGGGTTGCAGGTGGGTCCAAGACCTCAGGGCTGGACAGATGCATGATTTGTACTGGTGAGGTCAGAGAAACAAAGTTTCTGGTTGTAGCTGAACTTCCAAGTAATTCAGACCTGTGAAGCACACTAGCACCACCAAAAGCACTGGGACCATCAAGCAGGAAGGAGTGGCCAGGAGAGGCTGTGGTTCATTGAATCTCAATAGAAATGCAGGAGCAGAAATTCATGATGCTGTAGTCTGCTCAGTGGAATCACTCTTCCAGCAAACAGGAACCAGTATTGAGGAGCATTCAGGAGCTTGTTTCCATGTTTCCTGGGCACCAGAGGGACAGTCTCTATGAGCTGGAAGCTGATACCCAAGTGTCAGGATTGAAGAACTTCAGGATCTCCTCAGGGCATGAAGTTCAAAACAGGGAGGGCTAGGTGATGGTGAAACAAGTTTCCTCATCAAACCCTGGGACAGGGATCTCCTGCTGGAATTGTCCTGGTGTTTTACGGAAGCCTTCTCCAGGGCAGATGAGACAATTATCCTCAGTAATGAAACTGTGCCCTTAATATCCAAATGCTGATCTTCAAGACTTGCCCAGAAGATAGATTTGGACTGGGCCTTGAACTCTTTTCTAGTCCAAGAGGTAAAGAAGCCAAATTCAACCCCAGGAGGTAAGGGATTCATCTACAAAAGGCTTCCCAGGAATGCAGGATTTGCCTCTAGACACAGCAACACCCCAAGATGGACTCCACTTAAATCTCAGAGATATGGGACAAGCCATGATGATGGGCAAAAAAATTAAAGAGAAAAAAAAGTTTTGGAAAACAAAAGCTTACCTAAGTTTTTTACTTAGGAAATGCAAGCCAGAAGAGGCCTCCTTGGTTTGAGGTTCATGTGTTCCAGATTCAAAAGGAAGAAGAACAATAGAGGATCAAAGAAAATGAGGGGAAAATATACCAGCAGAATGAGAACAAGCATTCAAGGGAATAAAAAAAAGGGGAAGAATGATGAAGGCAAAGGGATTCAGAGGGCTGTAGGCCAGAAAGTACACAGACTGCAAAAGGGCTCTGTCTAGCTGGGGCAGCTGAGAGGAAGGGAGGCTGGGAAGGATGCACTGGCTTTTTTCCCCACAGCAGAGACTGTATGTACACCAGACAGATGCAGACTGGACAAAAAAAGTCTCCAAGTTCAACTGCTTGAGAGGTATGTGCACTCATGGTGGGGATGTGCAGATGATCAAACACTTGAAGAAGCATAATTATGAAGGGAAAACTGTTTCCAAATAGAGTAAATATCTCCCTCTGCTTTAAACTAGGAATTTGTCTGGAAAGCAGCTAAGTTAGACTCATCCAAAGGAAGTATGGAAATATTCTTGGTCTCCTTTTTCCTCCCCTGGAAAAAAAAATGAACCCCTCCTTTAATGCACTTACCTCCTAATTCAAGTACCATATTCTGAAGTTGGCAGACCTTGACGGGAGCCTCTGACAATAGGGAATTTACAGTACAATATTTCATAAAGGACTCTAATTGGTGGGGAGGATAAAAACAATCCACAGGCATGTTTGAGAAGGCATATATATAAAACTTATATATAAATTATATATAGTGCCCATTTTCATTTCTTTTACCAACTCTGACATAGCAATTAAGAGAATGAAGGGCTTCATGTCTGAGCCTGTACCAAGCCAACAAATGAGTAAAGAAATTTGGGCAGGTTAGATCATGTTAAAAATGGCTATCTAACCTAATTTACTTAGCTCAGGTGTGGACCTTATATTTAGATTGACCTAACTAGGGATCAAAGTGCAAACAGTACATAAGTTCAGAAAGTTTAGACTGGTCTAAAAAAATGGCTGACCCGATTCAAGTAAACCCTACCTTGGAGGTTAGATTAGGTGTGGCGAGACTGAGCTAACTGAACGTCTGTACAATTCTCAGTAGCGCCCCAGGCTAGGAAAGCCCAGCCATTGGCCTCAGCCCCAAGAATGAGCTTTTCTACCCACCCCCTTGGCACCGAGATAATATTAGCCCTCCTGTCCCTTACTCCCCCCGCTGGCAGACCAGCCACCGCCCAGCCCACCATCCCACAAGCCACTCCTGGTGCTGGGAGCTGATTGAAGTTGGGGTGGGGGGAGGGCAGATGGAATCAGGGGATGGGGTAGGTTTGCTGGGGAGGGGTTGTTCATCTGGGGGCTGGGAAGAGGGCTCAGGAGGGCTAAAACCAGCTCTTGGTCCAAGGGCAGGGGGAAGCTTCCTTTTCCCCCCAAAACCCCCTGATCCCTTCAAACCTTCCTGGACCCCACCAACCCTCTGCGCACCCTACTACCCCCTCCTCCATCCCTCCAAGCCCCCCATGGACCCACTCCACACCAATCCTGCCAAACCCTCCTGGTGTCCACCAACAACCCCCTCTGTGAGCTGCTAGCTGCCTGAACCCCCCCTGTGGATTCCATTTGCCCCTGCCCCAGATCCCCCTGGTCTCTCCCATCCCGATTTACCTTAAATTGAGTAGCCATTTTTAACTCAATCTAACTTCCCTGAAAGTCTGTACACATCCAATGTACCAACTGAGAGAAGATTTGATCCACATGGAAAAACTTTAGCAGATTAGTTTATCTATCTATTGGTAAGGGAGAAGCCAGGAACAATCCATGTTCTTCAAATTGGTGAGATGAACAGAAACAATTAGAATGCTTATATTTAAAAAAAACCTGAAAGACAGGTTTAAGAAAAAACTGTCAATATACAGTATTTAGAAAAATAATCACCACAACAAACCAATGGCTAATTAAAGTAAACTTTACCTAGCTTTTAGCTAAGTACTGTGCAGGCAGTGATTGAAAGTTCTTAGTGGCCAAATTACCCTCTGTCCTCAAGAGAACCAATTTACTCTGATGATTCATATCCTCTTTTGAAATCAGCAATGACCAGTTTTTTCTCCCAACTGTAAAATAATTTCTTAAACAGATTACTATTCTGTAATTTTGACCACAAAGTGAAATTTTAGGATCAATGTCCCAAAGTTTTCACTACTCTGAAAAACAAAACAAAACAAAAAACAAAACAAAAAGCTATTTACAATGCATTTAGCAAATTTGCCAGAAAAAAGGTTCGTTAAATAACAACAATGGACCTCAGGAGAAATTAACTGTATCTCTTTATTGTTAACCAATGAATGTTATCCAAAATAGTAGATGTAATCGTAGTTTAATTGTACAACATAAAACATGATGCTAAGGGAAAAAGCATGTTGAAATTTACTTCACCAAGTACTCATTAAACGATTCTCAACATTTCTGCATCAGTAAGTGTTTTCAACTGCTGGTGAATGCATTTATCACCACTTTGTTCATTGCGAAAATCCGTATGTTACAAATGGTTGTTCCTGGTTGTTTAGAAAAATTCACACAGCTTTAAAAAATGGATTAGATCCACTGTAATTCTAATCTATAAACTGTAGGTTTATGAACAGCAAACCTAACTGATATTTTCCAACACTGATTAACTGATGTAATAGTGTTAGTGCACACTTTTCAGCAAAAACAACCAAAAAGTCATTGGAAGTACAGCATTTCACTTGCTATGGCAAATTGTTCTAACACTTTGGAAATCTGAATGTTCATGCTTCAGTGTATGAAGCCTGTGATACATAAATTGTTCTTTCAATGCACTGCAAGTAGAAAAACTAACTTCCACCAAGCAGCATGTTGAAGCATGTGCACAACATCTGCACACCAGTCTTCAAAGTTAACCAGACACTTTTAGCCCCACAAGCTCAAAATATATTAAATGTAACTTTATTCCGTTTTCATGATGTCATCCCAGATAGTCAACCTTTAACTCAACAAAACCAAAAAAAAAAAACAACCAAAACTCAACTGACCTGTTCATAAGTAACTTGAACCTATTGTGCATGAAAAATGTTTAATAAAATGGCAAATTTTAATAGATGAGTGTAATTTATGAGTGCATAATATCAAACGGAAGATAGCTGAACCATCCTCAGAGAAAGCAAGGCTTTTATAAACTGTAACTAGGGTACTATAAAATAAAAAAGACAGTCCGTATTTGTTGCAAAATGACCTCTTAAAAGAAAGACTCAATCTCCACACATTATTTGACCTTATAAATTTAAAAAACCCACCATTTTGTTTAAATTGCCCTTTCAAAAAGTTGTAACAACTGAGCAACAACGATCAGACATCAGATACAAAGACATAATTATGAACTGGCCTCACTGAAAAATAAAACTACAGGTTCCTTCTTTTCTTTTTTCAACAATGGGAGCTTTCATTTGGTATTTGGAAACCCACATATAAAGTAAGTCAAACACATTCCACACCCCTCCCAGAAGAGAGTATACCAGTGACAAGTTATAGTTTTAGAGTTCATAATAAGCTTTTACAATTTAACTCAACAAAAAGGCAGTTAAACAATATTTAGCAACATAAATCCACCTGGAAGGAAAACAAAACCTTAAGAGCACAAGGACTCCTAGCTTTGTAAATATCATCATAAAGGGAAAGACAATTTCACACTAAAGATTTACATGGTGTTTGAAGGACCAGTCATCATGTATATAGTAGTGAGGTAGGATACTGTCCCCTCCTTGGGACTGATGTTTTCATATGCTCCCTTGCCAGAAAGGTCCAGGTTTTTCCTGTTGCAACTAAAATAATTATAAGCAAACAGGATATAGGGGGGGTTTGAAGGTTTTATTTTTTCTTCATTAAACTATTTCTGCATATCTAAAGTTATCATCTACAAAAACAATATTTATTGAAGCCTATCAGCAGATATGTGCTGCCCACAGGTAGTGTTCCATTTTTAAAAAAAATCTGCTGGAACTACCACCTGCTCTCTAGACCTTTGTGAACAGGTAGGCAAAGAAAACCATCAATGATGACAGGACATGAAACACCAAAGAAAGTTTAGGGGGAAAAATAAAAATAAAACGCACACAAGGATGTCAGCAAAATCAGATTCCTACTAGTGCAGCAAAATTGAAAAAACTGCATTTCAAACTGCATCACACAAACAGTATCTGACAGTTTTAGATTCGTGCCTCAAGTCCTTTTTACCTCTTAATGTTTAGGTAACACATACATTTGTCAGTCATGATAGTTAGCTGCCAATTTTAAGGAGAACAAAAAAGCAAGAACAGAAAATGAAAAAAAAAACTATGGGAGATAAATGTTCTGCCGTCATTTTCCACTCTTTCGACACACATCCCTTCTTCCCACACCTCTCCCCCGCCTCCCCTCCATCCACTGAAAAAGCTGGGTATATGACAAGACTGCCTTATTGTTGAATGCCTTCCTCTAAATTTTGTCTTTAACCACCACAGTCAAACTGGTATAAGTGCTTTGGCAAAGTGGGGTGAAATCCTTCAAAACTGCAAAGGCCTGCTTTTTTTCTCTGTTGGTGGTTCAGCTTTACGAGGAACAGATATGCAAAATAACAGCTCTCACATTGCTTCAAACTCATCAATACGCTGCTTTGTATTGCCTTGTCGGATCTGTCGAAGAGTCTTGTACTTATCACGGCCCGCTTTAACATTCTCAGCATGAAGGACATCGTTCTGAGTTTTCTTGGTTTCATCTCTGGCTTGGGCCAACTCAGAACTTAATGCCTGTTGAATAAAATATTTGTGTTTTAACATTTTAATTAGCTTAGATTTTCTGAGCATGTCTCATTGGAGGTTATAGACAGAGTTTTCCTGACTGCCAAAGAAACACTTTATTCACTTCTCCAGAAAGAAGTGAAACCGCTAATGTTATCAGGTCTATCATGCAAGCTGAGAAGTCATTCTAGAAGTGTGGGCAAAGGGCTAAGAAAAACAGCCTTATATTCTAATATCCAAGAGAACAATTTTGCTAAAGTAGCTGAACATGGTTTGGTAGGAGAAGCTAAGGAATAATCTTAGCCTTCCAGTTAAGCAAAAACTGACCAGTTTATTTACTCCTATGCCTGTAATTGTACTGTAGCAGAACAGAAATATATGTACATGTATGCTAGTAATATACTGCTACTGAAAAGGAACCAGAGGTCACATTTTGGTTTTGGTATTAGAGTACCTGCTAACAGTATTATTAAACTGGCCAGTGACAGACCGATCACTTTTTCAGTGGAAAAAAAAAAACAGAATCTCTCTCTCCAGACTAACAGTTTGAATAAGGATAAACCAATTTAGGACATACATTTCATTTTTATAGATACCATAAATTACTACAAAGAAACCCCCAAATGCTACTGGTTAAAAACTTTTTGCGCATTTTGCAATATATTTTACAGTTTAGAAATTAAAACATTACACTTCAAAAATTCAGAGTACTGTAGATTAGCTTCCTATTTGACAGGAAACATTAGTTGTAATGCAGCAACACATTCACACAGAAATCTTTAAGTGATACATATACAAAATGAGTTACATTACTCCCAATCTTGCTACATTCTCCGTTATGTGCAGTTCCTAGAGCAATAATTAAATGATACCAGTTTGTAAATAACTAAACTAGTACGTGATAAAATGTACTATCTCCTTGCCATATTCCACTTTAGTTTTGCTTCTCTGCACTAGCTTTGTGCTAGTTCAGTTTTATTTCCATGTACTAAATAAATGCACACAAGATCTTAAGCAAAAAAAAAAAAAGAATGCACATTTTTAGCTGTAATTATAACGTTAATGCAACTGCAAACCTTCATTACCTGGAGCTGTTTCTTAACACGCTCATTTTTCTGTGTTTCCGTCACCCGTTCTTCCTCACTTCTGTGGTTTGTGACACCATCAGAAGACAGTTCTGCACTAGCTTCAGCATTGTTCTCATCATGCTCATCGTGTTCATTCTCAGTTGGAGGAATAACTGGTGGTGGGGGAGGTGGAGGAGGAGCAGACATTACCGTCTTGAGCTCTTCTTTGGTCTTTTCCAAATCCTCCTGGGCTGCAAAAGCCTAAATAACAATAATAGTAATTAGCACATATATAGTTCTCATCTGCAAAATAATTTACACACAATCAAAGAATTAAAAACAAAAATTCTTTAGCTAGTCTAAGAATACCACTACTTCCATACAGTAATGAAGTCCTTGTTATTTACAAACTAAAAGCTATAAGCATGAATGTAGATTGGTTGTGATCAGAAAACATTTTTCACCATGTTGATTCACCATTCACTATTTAGAGCTGAATTAAATATTAATGTTTGCAAGGACTTGAGAATATTAATGTTTGCAAGGAAGTTCTTTTAGCTAGGCTTCAAAAGGAGCCGGAAGGAAGGAAGGAAGGAAGGACTTCATGCCGCCAAGCTCTGGTGGGATTTGTGCTGCCATATCCCTTAGCCCCTTGACAATTCCTGACTAAACTAGGTTCACTGGCAGACAGAGACCAAAGCCCTGAACTAAGTGGGGGAGTAGTACACAGGCAATCCAGGAAGTTTCTGGAGAGTGTTGAGAAAAACTTTCTGGTACAAGTGTTTGAAAGGCCAACTAGGGGCTGTGCTCTTCTTGACCTGCTGGTCACAAACACGGAAGACTTGGTGGGGAAAGTAGTAGTGCAGAGGTCTGCAGTGTTCTTGCAGCCTCTTCCTTGCCGTCGGCCCTAAGGTGATTGTGCCAATCAAAATGCCTTTGTGTGCCAAGCTCTGGCACCCATGCTGGGGGTTTCCTACCCCTGTAATAGTAGATGGCAAATTGGGCAGCAGTGACCATGAAAGAATCTTGGGAACTACAGATCAGTCAGCATCCCCTTAGTCCCTGGAAAAACCATACAGCAGGTCCTCAAATAATCAATTTCTAAGCACATGGACAAGAAGGTGATTAAGAACAGTCAGCATGGATTCACAAATGGCAAGTCATGCCTGACCAACTTCATTGCCTCCTATGGTTAGATGACTGGCTCTATGGATGCGGGGGGAGCAGTATATGTGATATACCTTGACTTTAGCGAAGCGTATGATACAGTCTCCCACAACATTCTCACAAGCAAGCTAAGGAAGTACAGGTTAGATGAAGACTGCACGGTGGATAGAAAACTGGCTGGATTGTCAGGCTCAATGGGTAGTAGGTCAAGGGCTCAATGTCTAATTGGCAGCTAGTATCAAGTGGAGTGCCCCAGGGTTGGTTCTGGGGCCAGTTTTGTTCAATTTATTCATCAGTAACCTGGAACATGGGATACAGTGCACCCTCAGCAAGTTTGCCGATGACACCAAGCTGTGGGGAGTAGTAGATATGCTGGAGGGTAGAGCTAGGATTCAGAGAGACCTCAACAAAGTGGAGGACTGGGCCAAAAGAAATCTCATGAAGTTCAATAAGGACAAGTGGAAAGTCCTACACTTAGGACAGAACAATCCTATGAACCAGTACAAGCTGGGGACTGACTAGCTAAGCAGCAGCTCTGGAGAAATGGGCAGATTATAGTGGACAAGCAGCCGAGTATGAGCAAACAGTGTGCCCTTGTTGCAAAGAAGACTACTGGCATACTGGGCTGCATTAGGAGGAGTGTTGCCAGTAGACTGAGGGAAGTGATTCTGCCCCTGTATTCAGCACTGGTGAGGCAACATCTGGAGTACTGTTTCCAGTTTTGGGACCCCCATTACAGAAAGGACATGGACAAATTGGAGAGAGTCCAGCAGAAGGCAACAAAAATGGTTAGGGGACTGGGGCACATGACTTCTGAGGAGAGGCTGAAGGAACTGAGCTTATCTAGTCTGGAAAATTCAAGATAATAGAGAGGGGATTTAATAGTAGGCTTCAACTACCTGAAGGGTGGTTCCAAAGAGGATGGAGCTAGACGATTCACAGTGATAGTGATGACAGAACAAGGAGCAATGATCTCAAGTTGCAGCAAGGGCAGTTTAGGTTAGATATTAGGAACAACTCTCTCACTAGAAGGTTGTAAAGCCCTGGAACAGGTTACCCAGAGAAGTTGTGGAATCACCAGCCTTGGAGGTTTTTAAGATGTGGTTGGGAAGACATAGTTGGGGATGGCCTGCTTTGAGCAGGGGTTTGGACTAGATGATCTCCTGTGGTCCCTTTCAACCTTAATTTCTTATAATTCTATGACTTAATAGACTGTAAGACTTCATTACTTTGTGCTGCCATTCTGTAGCTTCCTCTTCTTTCTTCTTCTTGGCCTCCTCTAGAAGTGCAATCTTGGCAGTGAATTCAGCAAGTTCTGCTGCCTAGGAGAGAGGAAAATGACATAGAAAGGTTAATTCAATACCCTTTATTGGCTCTACAGTAGAAGTGGAAAAGGCCTTGCTATGCTCTGAGCAAGAAGAATATATTCATTATGACACTAGTAATTTTTCTACATTTTAAAAATAGAACTTTTAATTATAAATGAGCTTGAGGGACAATGTTTGTGCTGCATCTCCCCAGGTGGAAAATCCCTGGTTAGGGATGATCTTTACAACTCCCAGACTGAGCTGCCAAGGGAGGTGCAACTGATGTAAAGTAACAGCTAGAGGCGCTCCAGTGTAATTAACCACAGTCTTACTTTATCTACCTCATAGGCTGGTGCCACAACCCAGATTCTCAGTGCTACAGTAACTCCCTTCCTTGCCCTCAACCTGCATGTTACACTGAGGAACGGCCAAGTACCATTATGGGGCTGTTCCTTTACTAGAGAAATTCTAGCCTGGCAAACTGTGGCTGGGATGATATAGTTGGGCATAGTCCAGCTTTGATCAGGGGGTTGGAGTAGATGACCTCCTGAGGTCCCTTCCAACCATAATTTTCTATGATTCTAACGCCCCACTATGACATCTACTGAGACAGAATATACTGTAGTATACCCAAGCCAAGTGCTTTTAGTGAAATATGAGATTACTGCTGTATTATCGGTGGGGTTTCACAAGGGTTAGTGCAATACTGGCTAATCCAGCTCCCACTGAAGCCAAAAGAAGTTTTACACATGAATTCCATGGAAGAATTAGGGTGTGAGGATATGAAACACTAAGATTCCACCTGAAAATGTTATTGCATTAGTTTTCTTTAACTAATAAAACCATAGAGGCATAATAGGATCCTATAATAAGTAACTGAGCATAATATGCTACCAGACGCACACAAAGTGCAATGACACCTGGAGCTGATCAGAGGACAACCATTGCTGGGTGTCACTATATGGTACAAAGGATGTATTTCAAAACAAATTAGTATTCTTATTGCATTTTAAGATTATTAATAATGAATAGGTCAATATTTGATGTAGAAGTGGCAAACTACTTAACAAAGCTGGAATTTATCAAGTTACTGTAGCTTATTTATGGTTATCTATACTCAAAAGGATAAGTATGTTTGCTCCTTCGGCAACAAAAGTAAACAGGCTACATTTTCAACTCGTTTCAATAACCATAGCTTGGTTTTAGGGATTCTGGGGTTACTTCTTACTAGCTGTTCCTGGTTCTTCATTTGATCAGCAGCCTGTTTGGCTAGAGCAGCTTTAGCTTCTTCGGCAGCACGGCGATCTTTTTCCAAGCGCTCTGCTTCTTCTTTTGCACGCTTTCGTTCTTGATCCAGTTCTAGAGCTCTTCTCGTCTGTTCTTCTAACTCTGGCCAAAGGAAAAATGTCAAGACATTGCCATCTGGTTTGTCCTGATAACTATGTTGTTTATTATGCATAGTTCAACAAACCATTGAAAAAAAATCTAAACTTACCTAGAACAATGGCCAACATACTCAATCCTGGTCCCCCAAGTTAAGCTCCAACACCTATTTTTAAACACCTAAACACCATATTTAAGACAAGCTGTTTAAAGTCAACAGGAACTGCTAGGTATCAAGCACTTTTGAAAATCAGTGTAAAGGTTCCTATTTTTTTTTAAACTGCCATTATTGGTAACTAGTGTTCAGTTGGGGCTAATTTTAAAAATAAGTAGTGACAATTCCATTTGCAGCCAACTGGGCCTACAACAGGCCGCCCCAAAATAAACCAACCCCCACCCCCTTCCTCTCTCCTGTTCCACCTTGATAAAAATAAGACTAAAAGATACCCTTACCAGTTAGAAAAGAGACTACTAAGTACTCTGCCACAGCATTTCACATGATTATTTTAATGTCTGAGCAAAGGTTTTTCACTGATACCTTTTATTGAATCAACTGTTTAGCTGCAAGCTGTTGGACCAACTTTTGGGCCTAGACCTGAGGAAGGGCACCTCTTCCTTGAAAGCTGCTCCAACAGCTTCACCAACTACAGAGTTTGTCCAATAAAAAAAAATTACAAAAAACCTTGCCCTTCAGATATTTCCCAGACCATCATGGCTGCAACAACATTCCAACCCTGTTATAATCATTTTGATACCAAAGATAAGCCTAAAACAGTATTCCACTACAATGACTTATAGATATTCCTTAAGCACTACAGAAGAATCTGTTGGCCACTTTAAGCATGCACTTGGTACACGATGTCAACAACAGTAAGATTTAGAAAGCAGTTTTTCAGAGAACAGTGCCTAGTAGGATTTATACCTCAACACGCCTCGTTATCTTGATGGAAACTGTATTAATCATCATGCTGTATCTGGTTAATATGGACACCCTTAAAATAGCATTGCGGGTTTTTAAGTGACATGCAAACTTTTCTTTGTTCCTATTACAGCAGACGCAGTCTTACCTTCTCCTGAAAGAATAAGCTCAGAAGGACCCATGTTGAACTCCCAACAAAAGTTATACAATGGTCTAATTGTGTAATTTTATGTAAATATTGTTTGTGTGTGTGTGTTTTATTATATATAAACACAAATATAAAATATCTCCCCACCCCCGCCCCAGGCTTGTGTGTGTGATACATGATATATATAAAAAACAGAAATATAAATATATAAAAATAGAAATAATATATAAATTAAAATAATCAGACACACAAGCCTGGAGGGGGGCGGGGGATACTAAGCACCAGGCATACCGCATACCCACATAAGCTGGAAGAGGGTAAGGCCTAGCTAGTCTGGGGCCATAGGATTGACTGCAGGCTGCCTTGGGGTAGGCACCACAAAAAGGACATCACTTTGGCAACAACAAAGATGGGGGGAGAGGGGAAAAAAATCAATATTCTATTGTTATTTTTGTTTAGATTTTAAATAATGTGTCTCTTTGGTGGGGGGGGGAGGAAGGGGAGGATGAGTGGGTTTGGAGGCAGGATGCAGCCAATAACAGAGGGAGGTACAGGCCTGGGAGAGAGAGTAACAGAGGGAGTGGATTCCTCTGGGTAGGCTTGGGAGTGAGTTGATTAGAGGAGTGGGGGTGAGGGGGGCACATAGCAAGCAATTTTTGGATACTTTCTTTTATGGAGTAAGTGAGAATGACTGGGTTGGGTTGGGCTGGACTGGGGTGGGGGATACCCTTCTTGGTCAGAGGTAGGAGAGCACGAGGGGAAGAAGTAGGGTGAACTGCTTTTGCATTTGGGGGGTTGAGGGTAGGGGGGACAGTTTACTGTAATATATTATTCTTTCTCTTTCTCTAATTTCTGCCTTGCACTGAAAGCCACCCAGAGCCTCTTCTTGGAAAGACAACATATAAATCAAATCTAGTAAATAAATAAATAGTCAATATAACTAAGTGAAGCACAGGATGGACCATGCCCTGCTAACAAGGAGTGATTCTCTATTTCCAATGTATGCCGCCGCCACTTATTTACTGCACACAAACCAAATCCTTCTTTGAAGGCAGATGCATATGTTGCCTAATGCTATCCCAATACGTTCACAAAAAGTGATTTTCACAACACCTTGTGAGAGATGGGGTTTTACAGTCAGGGTCCCAAGGCATGGAGAGGTCAAAGTCAGAAGGATATACTAATTTTGGGTGCCTAATTTGAGATTACTAGGACCCATTCTTCCACACACTTAGCATTACAGAGCTGTAGTGTGTGAACACAGGAACAATTACTGACAGAGAACATTTTGCAATGCACTGGAGCTCCATAGCAACTATCCATTTGCGTGCTCTTACCCCATGCTAAATGGAAACTAACCCATGGCAGATTACCCCATTTTCACTGGGAGCTAGCTAAAGTTACCACAGTAATTAGCTTCCAATTACTGCGGGGTTGGAGTAACCACATGAGCAGTTACTATTCAGCAGCTGACATACTGTAATGCCATGCCCCCTTTTACCTCAGAGTAAATTTTTCATATGCCCCTACCCTTGTGTGTTCAAAGTATCATTCCCATTGACTTCAGTTACAGCTGCGAGTGCTCAGTACATCTACAAATCTGATTCCTAGAACGTCATATAATTAGTAACCATCTGTGAGAAGCCTGGTTAAACTACCTTTCCTTGCATCACATAAGCATCCTGTAGCACTGACAGAGATACGAATCCATTTCTCCAGAGTAGCATTCAATTGGTGTAGTAAAGATAGGATCTCTTCTCTGCAATATCCCTTGCCTCACACACTACATTTTCCAACTTCTGCTACAAAGCAGACAGCAGGCCTAGACAACAGCCTCTTTCACGTAAATCACTCACAATCTGGACTCACTTATTCCTTCTGAACATAGAATGAGACAGGATCCCACTGAAAAATACAGAATGGGATTGTACAATTAACATTCTCACCACACATGCACATTACTTCTTGTATTTCATATTTTTTCACTGCCTGACTTTGCACTCAGTGCTCCTTTTTGTCAGCTTTGAGGGGGTGGTTTATGCGTGTGGGCTTACACACACACTTGGTAGGAGTCTAACAGTAGTGCAATGCTCAAAGATAATTGAAAGTAGCAAAATCAGTCCCCAGATGGTGGTATCTGAGAGGCCCTAAAGTGCAGCTCACTATTACCATAATACAAACTCCAAGTTTGAAGCCAGGAATGCAGAAAATTATATAAACCATTTGGAAGGTATATCACCTTTAAATTGTCTTAATCAGGGGAGCAGTAAGAAGTGCAATTTCAATTTTGCTGGCTTTAGATTTGTTTTTACTTGATACAGCTCATATATGGTAAGGTGGATGATAAATCAGGGATCCTGGTTTCTCTCTGATTAAAAAAAATCCCCAATTTTCAGGTTAAAAAAGTATCCCATATATATGGATTTTGAGATAGTTTTTTAACTCGAAAATTGGGGATTTTTTTTTTTTTGTTTTAATCAGAGAGAAGCTGGGATTCCTGATTTATCATCCGCCTTATACTATATATTAGTGGTGTTTCATTTTGATCATGGCAAAATGTGGATTTTGGTTTACTTTTTTAACCCAAGAATTGGTTTTGTTTGTTTTTTTAAACGGAGAAAACCAGGATCTCTGATGATAATGTATGTAAATACACCAACAGTGCTTAAAGATATTGTTGTGATATATCAACACAAGGGGGCAGCATTACATTTGCTGTGGTAAACAATTTTGTATTTTCAATTTTTTTTTCTTTTTAAAACTTTGCACTTAATGTAACTTCAAGTCCCCAGCATTTCACAAACTTGAGACTAAATAACCCATACTGCAAATTAAACAAATATTCAAAAATTGAGATTAATATACACATGCTTTACCTTTCATCATACCCTTTTATTTTGTTAATACTGGAAAGTTTCAAAAGTCTTATTTTTCAATTTCCTTTGTGTTTATTGTTGGCTTGTTTCTCATTTCATAGTGTTTAAGGAACCTACCACAGTAGCATCAAGCACAAAGAATTTCTTTAAGCAAGCAAATATAAAAAAAAATGTTTAAGTTGGAACTGTACCTAAAACTGTCCATGAAAAGTATTTAAATTTTATAATTACTTAAAAAACAATCCTAAACAATAGAACTAAAAGTACCCATATGCATTGACTTAACACCTTTGCAAGTTTTGGAATGGGAGATGAGGGAAAAAACAACAAAATGAGCAGTGGGTTCCAGCAGGAAGGAGGGAGCTGGTGTTCTGCTTTGGGGTGTTGTCTGGGGAATCTTGTCCTTGGGCTGTTTGTTTACTGTAAGCCACTCTGGATAGGGTGGGATATAAATCTGAAAATAAACTAAGAACTTACCTTTCTGTGCCTTCATTGTCTGTTCTTCAATTTGTCTTAAGCGTTGCATTAATTCTTCTTTTTCACGTTCTATTCTTTCCTTTTCTTTTTCTGCTATTTCCCTTTTCTTTTTCTCATTTTCTAGTTGTGCCCTAAAAAACAAAAGAAGTGCTGAGTAGACAGGCATAGGTGCTAAACCAAAGGGGAGCAAATCCTCTTCCCACGTCATTTAAAAGTCATGACTTCAAAGGAGTTTCTCAGTTTACACAGCTATCCGCAAAAGCAGATTTTAGGTCTTGAACGTGTTTCACATTCAGTTTACACTACAAATAAGGAATTCTATTATAATACTGTATTGAAATGGAACGCAGAAAGATCTTTAAAACAGGCCTGTAATGCAACTAAACATTTTTGGTCAAAGTTTGACCAAATCATGTCCAAGGCTTTAGTGGACAGGTGACCATACTGGTGCTACAAATTGCAACAGTGTTTTCTAATGGTCAAAGAAAAATCATGCTGTACTAGGTTCCACTAGTATTGTCTATCTTGAAGTTTTGCCAAATCTTAAAGAATCAAGCAATAGAGGTTTAAACTATTTAGCAAAAGGAAGAGCTTTATGAAAAATGACAGAGCTTTCAGTAATAACATTTTCACAAAAGACAAGGTTATCTGTTAAAAAGCTAGATGATCCATTTCAACCTGCAATCTCTCTTTTTTTTTTAAATACATAAATAAGTAGTAGATTTTTGATTTCTGGAACACCAAGAACTCCGATTCCATGCCCTTGAGATCTCTTGAAGTGTTAAGATAGTATTTTATTATGGTTTACAGAAGGTTTAATACCATACCTCTCCAACTGTTTCTGATGTTTCTCCTCTCTAGCTTGGGCTTTCATTTGCTGCACTTCAATTGTATCAGGTTTTCTCCTCCTCATGTACAATTCATGATTTCCCATGCAGAGTGCCAAAATCCGCTTATTAATTCTCAGGCGAGGTGCATAAAAAACAAAATCCTAGCAAGAAATATTTAAAATTTAAAATACTTGCATTTGAGTGTTTATAGTCTAAAAAGTTTTATTGAATATCTGTAGGAAAACCCCCAGTTTTTTTTGTTGTTTTTTTTACTGCATTCGCTCCCCTTCCCCAACCATTTCTGACTTTTCCTCTCCCTCTCTATTCCCTATAGATAAGTATAAGTTAGGATAAGCTTTAAACATTTTTATTTTGGTAGCAAGTTTTTGGCTTTGGATATTCAGTTTTACATTGTATTATTATTAGGTTTCTATTGATTCTTAGTGTTGTATACTGTACTATTATCATTTTTGTATTGATTTGTATTGTTTCATATGGATATTGTATGGTTTAGGCCTGTGTTTTTAAGTGAACCAAAGTCATGTCAAGGTTCCATTTTATGTGTCAAGTTTCTATCTTGTGTCCTCTCCCTGGGCATCCCCTGTGTCACAACTGTATGAGTCACGTATCCCTCCCATGTAAATTGGTTCCTGGATGAATGAGTGTGATTGGGAATGACTGAAATACAATGGTAGCAAGCCTCTACTGAATGGCCTATAACGACTGGGCTATCGCCTCGCATTGATTCATCCAGGAACCACGGACCTCACCCAGGAATGGAGACAAGAACCCAGCATTTGAAAGACAAAAGACCCTACAGAACTAGCAACTCTTACCATTACAGACACCTGAAACTGCGCATCCCTGCATGGAGCACACATGCTCAGTACGCCAGGGGCTGACCCTTGCCTGGGCATGCCTCCTGTCACTCGGGTCACACAAGATCTGCCCTTATAAAAAGGGGCAGTGAAGACAGACCCAGTGGGACGCTCTCTACATCTGGACTGGCACCATGCCACACCACCTATCCACCCAGAGGCCCTGCCGGCAACCCCCTTATGGACAACACCTACTGGACAAGGACACCTTTCCAGCCTGGATAGGTAAATATTACCTGCATACCTCCTCCTACAATTTAGACTCTCTCTCCTCCTGGACTCCAATGGACTTCAGCCCCTGCACCAAGCCTCTTTAAACCCTGCTGCCATTGTGTGTGCGTGCGTGTGTGTGTGTGTGGGTGCAAGGGAACCAATTTGGCATTGTGTCACCATCTCCCCTGTTCAATAAAACCACTGTCATTTGCAACCCCGAGTTGGGTCATGTTTTTCAGAATCCCAGTCCCTTCCTTATCTTAAATTCCAGCCTCATTCTCTCTCTCAGCTCCAGTCCCCACCCTTTCTGCTAGTTTCCTGATCTCCTCCCAATTCCATCTCCCCTCTTCTGCCACCTCTCAGCCTCCCCTGCTCCTACTACCTTTTCCCTGTGACTTTCTGCTGCCTTTCTCTGTTTTCCTGTTGCCTTGCCACCTGCTGCTTTTCCTGTGATTCTCTGCTGTCCCTCTCTCTGTTTTCAGGCTTCCCCCGCACCTTCTGTAATCCTCCCCCCTCCCCCCCCTTGCAGCTTCCCAGCTCCCCTTAGCTGTCCTGCAGTTTTCTTCTCCAGCTTCCAGTACCTACTGCCTTTTCCCTGTGACTTTCTGCTACCTTTCTCTGCTTTCCTGCTGCCCTGCCGTCTGCTGCTTTTCCTGCGATTTTCTGCTGTTTTCAGGCTTCCCCGGCACCTTCTGTAGTCATCCCCGCCCCCCCCCGCAGCTTTCCAGCTCCTCTTAGCTGTCCTGCAGTTTTCTCCAGCAGCTGGAGCCTTTCTCCAGCTCCCACCACCTACTGCCGCTCCCTGCAACTGCTCTAGCTGCCCCAGAGCCCTCCTCTGGCTCCCCACATCCAGAGCCCCTCTTTAACACCCACACTTTCCCTTAGTCCCATTTTTCCCTCTCCCTACCTACCTTTTCAGCTCCCCCATAGCTCTGGCTCCAGTCTGGCATTGCTTACCTGTTCTGCAGGCTTTGGGCGTTGTCTTTTAATCAATTAAGATCAATTAACCTAAAGTTATCCTCGAGCCTCAGTTCTTCAGCCCAGGCCCCTGTAGTCTACCGGTTCTAATCCCAGTCCTGGTAACTTTAACTCTCTACACTTCTACTTTCTTACCTTAACCTTTCCCCAGGTATCCCAAGTACACCAAGCACATACATACATACACACACATCACAACACCCAATTTAGGAACTCACCTGTGTGTATGTGTAGGTGGGTGGTATGTGTGCGAATTAGTGAATACACATATATACACATATATAGATATCATTGTGTGTGTGTGTGTGTGTGTGTGTGTGGGGTATATAAATTAGTAATTCACGCATGTGTATTAGATGTGCAGGTGTTGGTAACTGGTAACTGATTCTGTCTAAATTTGGTGTGTGTAGCGTGTATGGGCTTAAACTGGTAATAGGTGCGCATGAACCTAGGCTAGTTGTTTTGAACGTGGGTGTATCTGAGTTGCTAGTGTGTGTGTGTGCGTGTGTGTGTGTGTGCGTGTGTGTGTGTGTGCGTGTTCACGCATGTGTATTAGATGTGCAGGTGTTGGTAACTGGTAACTGATTCTGTCTAAATTTGGTGTGTGTAGCGTGTATGGGCTTAAACTGGTAATAGGTGCGCATGAACCTAGGCTAGTTGTTTTGAACGTGGGTGTATCTGAGTTGCTAGTGTGTGTGTGTGCGTGTGTGTGTGTGTGCGTGTGTGTGTGTGTGCGTGTGTGTGTGTGTGCGTGTGTGTGTGTGTGCGTGTGTGTGTGTGTGTATATATATATATATGGTATTGTGCGCATGATATACGAATTAGTGATCTGTGTGTCTAGGTATGCATGTGCCTACGCTGGTATGAATGTGTATGTGCCTGAGCTGGTAGAATATGTGTATGCACCTAATTGATTTGTGTGTGTTTGTATACGTGCAATTGTACACCACGCCCTCCTGTCTAACAGCACAATACTGAGATCCTGAGTGTTGGCCTGACCCCTCAGGGCAACATTTTAATACACCAATAATGTGTGTCTAGGTTTACAAGACTATGTTTATTCTTACAGGAACTGAAATTCTTCCTTTGGTCAATCCAAAAGCAGCTATCTATAGGTTATTAATTGGAAGAGCCATTCAAGAACAGGCTTGGACTCTTCAAGGTAGGGCATATGCACAAATAATTTATTTGGTCTTCCAAAATGGTTGAAACTCATTGATGCATTTGAATTTACTGGCTAACACATGAAGGGTTTGGGGGTTTCTTTTTTTTTTGACCCAATCTACAATTCAAAAGGAAGATGTTGCAGTAGTGGGCAGCAAAAAAGTAAGAAAACATATTTTTTCCCTGTATAGTTTAAAATGAACATTTATATTTGATCATCTGTTATTTTGCCACTAAATAGTCAATGTAAGGTAAAGAAAGCCTCAGAGCCAATTAAAATTAGCAGGAAAGAATTCCACACTCATGCAAGTGCCACAATAGCATAAATGTATACTTAAATTCCACAAAGAAAAAAATAACCCACAGACTCAGTCTTTACTCACAGGGGCCTTTTTGTCAATTGGCTTTATGACAAACTTTTTGTCATTAAATGAGATGTTTCTGATTTCACTCCAAGGAAAACCAATCTTGGGTGTCAACCTTCGAAAAGAAAAAATTAATTCTTAATATTTAATAAGAGGCATGAAGGGTGCATTTTCCAACAAATATCAAAACAGATCGATTATGCCATTTTCTTGGTTCCATTTTTAATATTAAAGTGATTTTTTTGGAAAAAGCTTCAGGGAATGATAGTTAATGAGATAATTTACCAAATGATTTATTATTATACAATTAGTCCTACAAGCTGGTATGGTGCTGATAGTCAGCTGCGATGCATCAGGAGAGGGTGTTACAAGCTTCAAACTTTGACACACAGTATTCATAATATATTCAAGTAATGAACATCATAATTTGTTGACCCTTACTTTAAGCATATCCTTCATTTAAGAGGACAAACAATTTCTCAAAAGAAATGCTCACTCCAAAGCATGTCTTCATTATAACAAACACTGAAATTTAACCAAAAGTAAGTTAGAGAAGATGGTTTAAAAGTTGCATGAGAATTGCATGCTGCTACAATCCTATCATTCAGTTTGAAATTTTATCTCCTACATGAGATTATTTAAATGATCTAATCAATTATACTAATACCAGAAATAGGTATACATATTTAAATTATTTCAACCATGGTGTTTCTCAGTTGGACTAAAAGTATTTTCCACTTGCATCATCTCAGTTACAAGCATTAGAAGTTAAAAACTGCAAATGTGCTTAGACAATGAGACATGCTTCATCAGATCATCAGAAAGGAGGCCTTTTATTTGAACACTCTAAATGATTTTTCTTTTGCCTCTTCAGAGCTATATTGCTATCTAATGACAATTCATATTTGCCAAAGATACTCTCAGGGAGTATGTTTACCAGGGGAGGCAGTTAATTTGAAAATAATGGGTATCAGCTATCTAATGCTCGACTCACTATGTTTCATTTCAAGTCATCCTGAATCTGCTGTTACTATCACACGATATTTAAGATCTAGAAAGCATATATAATAAGCAGCTCTTGAAGTGTTTGGAAAGAAAAAGTAGAATAACTCTGTTCTTTTGCTTTTAGATGCTTATTTTGCAAGTTTTTAACTTTTCCTTCTTCAAGGAATGGGCAAACAGAAAGCATTCCTAAATTCCTAAACAGAAAAAGATGTTTTAATCTATTAGTTTTCCTCGATGAAAAAAAATTACACTTTTGATGGACAGGACAGCTTTTGATGTTCTCATTGCTCTACTTCTAACTGCGGTTATTACAAGTAAAATGCTTCCTATTTAAGGAGTTGTTTCATCTATGCTATAAGAATATCTGACTGTCTGTGTTCTCATTTCCAGTGAAATTAAGATCCTAAGAGTATGGAAAGCAAGAAAGCAACAATACAAGGAAAAGTTTAAAAGTCATTAAAACTTCTGGATATGAAATACACATTTGAAATCTACAAGGCAATTCCTACTACAACCAGAGTAGTTCTTTTGTTCCACTCTTTCTGTCTTTTTATTTAAATTGTAGTTGTCTTAGGATGAAAATCGTCCCTTACTACATATAGGTACAGTGTGTCCTATATATAGACCCCAACTTCAGCAAGGGCTCCTGCACAGGAGAAAAATATAAAATGTTAACAACTTACTTGTCGTCATGCTCATAAATATTCAGACCCAAAGCATCAACACCTAGCCACAATTCAGTTCCCTTTTTATTCTTTATTTCAAAATAGTTAACTCCATACATTTCCAAATCTTGTGCAATCTTGAGGTACTCCATCATAGAATCTTCCCTGAGGAGAGAAGATAGTATAATTAAAAGACAAAAAATGAGCTAGACAGAGAAGCGGGGAAACTAAAGATTGCTTAAGTTTTGCATTTCAAATTAATTTCATTTAAATCTTCTGGAGGGTTTGTAAGCACTGTGGAGACATCTATTCAGATATTTATACAGTTCTTATCACCTTCATATCCACGGTCCTCATAGGGTCCCTGTAGATGTGTGGGGACACTGCTCCAACACGCTGTAATTACAGCATGTCCGAGCAGACTTGATTAATGGGGTACACTGGAGCGTGCTAACTGGCATGCTCCAACAGCCTCTACATCTTATGTATTTAGCATCCCTGTACTTCAAAATGGCAGCAGGGGCACTTTAACTAGAGCAAGCTTTAGTTAAAAGTGCTCCTGCCATTTTGAAGCAGGGGATGCTGAATACACGAGATGCTGTGGGCACTTCCATTAGAGCAGTTCTTTGAGTTGCTCTAATTGAAGCACCCCTCCTCCCCCATCTGCAGAGCATGTGTAAAGATGCCCATGATGATTAAATTTTATCCTCACCCATGATTGTGAGCTAGGGAAATATTATAGCCAGATGGGAAATTTGCACGCCAGGGAAATAACAGCTTTGCCCAAGGTCCCACAGGAAGTGTACGGATGTATTCAGAACTGAACCCCAGTCTCTGGCACCCTGCTCCTGTACTCTCTTCACTAAACCATCCTTCTTAACCTGTGTTTAGATGGGGGTGAAAAAGAGGAGTTTTAAAACAAAAAATCAAACTAATTTCAAATAAAGAAACCTTATCTTGGAAGAATTATTCCTAAATAGTTACCTCAACATCCCCCTATGTTCTTCATGCCAGTTCTGTATTCTTTCCTCCCACTGCTCTTTGGTCAGTTTGTGTTGTTCCAAGACCCTGTCAGTTAAACAAAGCCAAACAAAAGGATGGAATGAAATAGACCAGCAATCTGATCCCTTAAATACACAAAGATATCAGTTCAAGTACATGCACACACCTCCCCAAACACTAAGTCTTTCCACACACGCACACAATCTATGTATCGACAAATATGCCCAAACCTACATGGTTCCATTTAATTTTAGAACTATAGCACTATGATATCCCATTTTATTTTCTTAGTATTAATATCTTTTTAGAAGAAAACTTTAAAAAAAAACAGTACCATCATGACAAGCAGTTTTTAAACTTCAGTAAAGTTAATTCATGTCAGATGACAACCATGGACAAGTACTTCTTAAAACTTACCAGCATAGCACAGTAACAGAAGTTGAGTGCCTGAGCAATACTTTTATAAAGAAAAAGTCATTTTGTGCCTTCTTAAAACCAAGCAAAGGAGAGTTTTATGTTTTCATTCCTAATATGCAACTTTTTAAGCATTCCTGGTGTCTGGTCAGAAAAGAAAATGCATCGAGTATCGTCTTACTGAAAAGATCGGCTTAACTGAATTTACTGCCCTCACTCTGCTGACAAAAAGGTTTTTATTACTCCTCCTCCCCACCCACTCTCTCCTATTTCTAGCACTAGATAACTTTGGGCCACTGAATTGTATGAGGCAGAATAGAATACATCAACAAAAAAATGATGAATACAATCTGACTTTGGAATCATGCAGGTAGATGAATTAACACCACAAACTTCAGATGCCTGTTACCAAATGCCTGTGTAGGCTTAAATTACAAATTAAATATTTTAGCTATATCTCAAAAACAACACATTACAATTCTCACAGTATGACCACCTTTTAAAAGGCTATGAGTAGCAAGTACTCAAAAACTATGTGAGTAGCAAGTTCATAAGAGCTTTAATCTTGGACAAAAAGTTCTACTTACTGAATATTAGATAAAGGTGTTGACAGTAGAATATTTAAAATCTTTAGGTAAGCTTGTGAGTGAGGCTTCTAGGATCCAAACAGACCAGTGCACTGTTCAAGTACATACATAAGATGTTGTCTGCCCCAAAGAGCTTACAATTTAAACAACAGATCTCATACCAAGCATAGGTTTAACCAGCATCATTATAGCTGCAAGACATTATGTTGTAAGTCCTTTATTTTTCTATGCTTGCCTCATCACAAGACTTCCACCTTTAAGTTTGAAGTTTTCCAGCAAAGGGGTCTCTTCCCAAAGACAAATGATAAAAAATAAAATGAAAGGACTAGATTTTTCTAAACTTAGCAAAAATTGAAAGCAACCTTTTCTTGCTTGGAAAAACTGATTCAGCTGCTTAGAGTATTTCAAGACTCCATTCTGGATTGGACGTATTGTGCATGCAACTAAGCATGCATTTTTCAATAGTACTAGCCCAACATTTCTACATTCTACCTCTTCACCTCTACCACAGACCCACACCCTTCTTATTTATTCCTTTGCAAAACAAAGTGGAGGGGCAGAGATAGTGGTGTTTCTCTTAGCACCTCACAGTTACCTAAAGTCAGGCTGATCTCCCATAGCACCTCCTGGGAGATCAGCTTGACTCAACAGCAATCTTTTCAATGAACTGAAAATCAAAAAGGAATTTTACAAAAACGGGAAACTTGATCATGTTACCAGGGAAGAGGGATGAGAGTATTGTATGGGCAAGGAGGGAGGAAAAGCAGGAAAGCCAAAGCATGACTGGAAGTGCAGCTGGCAAGGGAGTTGAAAAAATAATAATAAAAGGGATTCTACAAGTATGTCAAGAAATAAGGAGAAGACCAACGGAAGCGCAAGGCCCCTTTGCTGAATGCAGAAGGCAATCTAGTTTTGGATAATGCTGAGAAGGCTGAAAATTTAATGCCTTTTTTACTTTAGCCTTCAAGAATAAGGTCAGCTACCAGATGACAAGTGGAGTTGGCAGCCCTGATAGGATAAGGGATAAGCAGCTTAGACTAATGGAAGAACAGGTTAGGGACTACTTAGAGAAACTAGATGCCTTCCAGTAGGCAGGGCAAGACAGGATACATCTGAGAGCAGTGGTGCCTGAACTGCTTAACAAGCAGACCAGATGAGCAGTGCCAGGTCTATCTGCAGGCAAAATGTGTGTGTGCATGTGTGTGTGTGTGCGCGCAAGAGTGCATATGCAGGAGTCTAGAGAATTACAGGCCAGTCAGTTAAACCTCAGTACCTGGAAAGATCATGAAGCAGGTCCTCAAGAATATATTTTCAAATACCCAAAGGAGAACATGGCAATTAGAAACAGCCAGCATGCATTCACCAAGAACAAGTCATGTCCAATCAACTTGATTTTCTGCTGCAACAAGGTGACAGGCTGCATGGATGGGGAAGGAGTGGATGTGATATAACTTGACTTTAGAAGGCTTTTGACAGTCTCCCACAACATTCTCATTAATAAGCTATGGAAATAAAAAACTAGATGAAAGCACCAGAAGTACAACCAGATACATAACTGGTTGGATCATGTTCAATAACTAGTCATGAATGGCTGAGTGTCTTGCTCTGAGGAAGTGTAACTGGGGCTCTTCAGGAGACTGTCCTGGGTCCAGTACTGTTAACATCTTCACTAATGATTTGGAAGATGGGATTGAGTGCATACTTAGAAAATTTGCAGATAACACCAAATTAGGTGGAGTTGCAGGCACTCTGGAGGTCAAAGAATCCAGAGTGACCTCGGTAAACTGGAAAAAATAGCGCACAATCAATCAGATGACATTCAAGATGGACAAGTGCTAAGTCCTGCACTTGGGACAGAATACCTGTGTGCGCAGATACAGCCTGAGGAATGACTGGCTAGGCTATAGTGCTGCACAGAAGGACCTGGGGGTACAGTAGACCTTAAGCTGAATGTGAACCAGTATTAGGGGAGCCCTGCTGTCTATGGCTATCAGCAAAGATTATAGCCCTCCCCCTGGACCCACTGCCACCACTGGACACTCTGTCCCTGGACACCATTGCCCAGATGCTCGTGGAGACAGCCCCTGTGCCCCACAGTTCAGATCCAGCCCAGGGCTTCAGGTGAGTTTGACACCTTTGCCATTGGGGAATAAGAGCAATGGCCTCCAACTCTATCACAAAAGTTTTAGGTTATAGATTAGGAAACACTTCCTCACTATAAAATGGAAATTCAGCACTGGGATATGTTGTGGAATTCATAGATTCATAGATGTAGGTTCGGAAGGGACCTTGTAGATCATCAAGTCCAACCCCCGATCTCCATCCTAGAAATTTTCAAGAGTAGGCTAGACAGACACTTGACTGACATAGTTTAGTCAGGGGTGATCTTGCTTTGAGCAAAGCACTGAACTAGACCTTCTGATGTCCCATCCAGTCCTATGATATTAATGTTTCTACCATCTTTTTCATGTTCAGGAGATACAGTGGACCCAAATTCATCATGGTCATCTGCAACAAGCCAATAATTTGGTTTCTATAATCTCTCATATGAACCCATGAGCTATAATCTGTAAAATGCCTATGATTTGACTGGTATATCACTAGTATTACAATAAAACTTCAGTCTTCTCACTTCAGGTTCAGCCTGTTAGCCTCAAAGGCTGGATTATGAAACAATTTAATTGCCATTATTTTAAAACTTTTTTTGTGTTAGCAATGAAGATTAGTTCAAATGGGACTGATAATTCAAAGCCAGGTAAGAAAAGAGCACAAACAATTTCTAATTTAAAAACAGAACTAAAGACACCAAACAAAAATTATTAACAAATTCACATAATGTAGCATTTAAGGTATACTTTTCTAATAGGAAAAATCAGATTGGTATAATAATAGTATTCTATCTTATCTATAATATTGATAGTCTTAACTTTATTAATAAAAACAGAATATTCAGGGGATCTAGACACTTTCTTTACATACTGAAAATTTCAATTTCAAATACTTACAGAAATACCATCAACACAAAAGTTATATTCCTGTCTTAACCTTTTTCAACCTATTGTCGTAACAAGCCCAAACCTAGGAGATTGGCAAAACAAAAATTTAACTACTCTTTCCTGTTTATTTTGTGTTTCTCAACACATTTCATATGGTCGTTTTCACCTTCTCCTCTCTATAGGAAAAAATTAAGGAATCTGTAACTTTATTAACATATGCAATCCTGTTAACATTTATGAGACTACTCACGTAAGTAAAGTTGAGGGGCTTAAGTGTTTGTAGAATCAAAGTTTTCTTAACGTTGCAGGTCTTTTAGACAGGGACAGGAAAAAAAATTAAGATATAGGCAAGGGGGGTTGCAAAAATATATGGATTACAAAAATATGGAGCAACTAGAAGGCAAGTGTGATTGCAAAAATATGGAGTAACTGTGAAGCAAGTGTAGTTCTTGATATCACTGTAAATTCCTTTTAAAAAATTGATTGCTATATTTACTCAAATCCAAGATGATCCCCCCCAACATCAGGAAAAGAAAGCCTTATCTTAGATTTGACTACTGGCTTGGGACAGGCAGTGGCTCAGCTCTGGCTTCAGCCCCAAGTTTATGGCGAAACCCTCAGCTGAGCCAATTCTGGCCCCAGGCCAGGGTGGCTGATTTGGCAGGGGAGGGGGCTCATGGAAGGAGAACACAGGGGAGTCCACACAGTCAGGGAAGCCGGGTGGGGAAGCACATTGTGGACATCCATATGTGGTTTGTGGGGAGCACAGGGCCCACCTTTCTCAAGCCTGTCCCCCATCTGGCCGCTTTCCAGCTGCTCTAGCATCAACCCCTCTTAGCCCTGACCTGGCCAGGTCTGGAGCTGTTTCCCATGCTTCACCCTGGCCAGGCTGGGATGGAGCCGGGCTGAGTCCACTGCCACCCCTGACTATTCTGGAGACAGAGAAGAGCTGCAGTGGAAGTTAAGCAGCAGGAAGGCCACATGTGCAGGGACAAGCACAGGGCAGAGGGAAGGCAGGCAAAGGCAGGAGAGTAAGCAGCACACCCTGGGCAGCAGGATAGGCTCAGGAGGGCAGGGGGCAGGGTCTGGCCCCTTGCCCCCACCACAACAACGAGGGCACAAATTTAAAGATGACTGCCCAATGATTAGATTCTATACATGGAAAATTATAAATAAATTAATAGTTTTCCATGTACAGAATCTAACTGGGCTGTCATCTTTAAATTCGAAGTCATCTTGGATTTGGGTAAATACAGATTTCAAATGTACTACGTTCTTTAAATGAATTTCTCAGTCTCATTTCTAGTATATCAACCTAGATATTAAATAAAATGTCACTAGTATGTCGTTATTTACTAAAAGAATTTTCCTGTTATTTGTTTCAAAATCTCATTGCATCTAATTTACACTGATCAAATAACCAAGTAAACATTTACTTAATGATTTAAGTAGGTACAGAAGTATGTCCCACCTGCCCTAACAAAATACACTAATAGAACTGTGTGTTATGATTACAGGTACTCATTCTCTAATACTCTGTGCATTGTCAAGATGCACCAGAAAACATGATGCTATCAGCAACTTCAAAAACAGTACTGCTACCAAGTTCTTAGCACGCTTTAAGTTTTTAGGTGGGATACCTACAGGGGGGGGAACATTTTTTTTTAGAATAATACTCTTTCTATTTGTGTATGCTTTGTTAATTCTTTTAAGTTATACATATTTGTAAATTTTAAGATGGTATCTTCCCACACTCCTCCCCCCACCCCCCCAAAAGAGGAAGGCTGCTTCAAGAACTGAAGGAAAAATATTGGTATTGAGGATTCCACATTAACTTGCTAATTGAATGGTTCCTATATTTAATTTAGCAGATGATATGTTTCCAGAAGAGAGCAAAGAATATTAAACCATGCATATTAGCTCAGAATAAGAGACCATACACCCCAGAGGTATTACCTCATTGGAACAAAAGCAGCCACTTGACTGAATCTGTGCAATTATCAAAGAACGTAGCTAATGAGGCATTCAAATGCAGTTCTCAAGAGAATCACAACTGGGATGCCTCTTCTTCACTACTCAAAGTCCAAGTTAGGAGAAAAGTAGGAGATCCTAACTTTTAGCCAACACATACACTCTCCAGAAAAGTGCAACTAGCATGTACTGCTTTCAAGATAAACTGACATTTGGAATTTAAAAACCTAAAAAAAGTGTGTTACCAGCAAGTTAAAGTAGCATCTACAAAACAGCAGCAGTAGTTTCACTCCCACTTACCGCTGGGGAAGAAGTCTGTCATTGGCCAAGTAGCCTAGCTTATGAATCTCCTTATTGTAATCACCATACTTTGCTTGGACGGCATAAGAAGCCAGTAGAACTGCAGTTTCAGGTGGACAGTAGATTTCATCATTTAGAATAGCCTCTTTCACTTGCAGAAAGAACAGTCTCTGAGTTATTTCTTGAATTAACTCCTCAGATACATCCTCCGGAAAAAACTTGGCCCTGAACTTGAATTGGAGAGGATTTTCTTTCCTTACATCTTGCTGTGTTACCTGGATTGGAGAAAAGTACACGTGAAAGTGAAGTAAGCAATAGTTTGTTATTTATTTTAGCAGCAAGAAATTCACTAGCTACTACACACTGTAATCCAACTCCCCCTGGCAAGCATACTGTAAAAATGACTTGCAATTCACAGGGCACTGAATAATTTACATCGAATTAGCAAACATGACAGCTCTGAAAGGCAATTTAAAGGTCTCATTTAAAAGCTTATTGTAGACTTGTGTTAATTTTTATCTACTACAATGAAGATCTGAAAACACGATTCTTATGATGTATATCAAATATAAAAAGAATAAGTTACTGAAAGTAATTCACCTGATGTCACTGGGATTTCAAAAACCGTTTCTTAGCAAGAATTGTGGCATGCTCAGTCTTAAATATCTGGAATAAAATTAAACTTTAAAACTTTGGCTTACCACTATAAATAAGGGAGCCTAAAATTCTTTGTTCATCACTCCATCTTTTGCTAGAAGGTGATGAACTTATTGCATTAACTGTGCCATATCTTTCTACACCAAATTTATTTTATTAATTAGAATTTTGCCTAGCATTTTACCAGAAATCTGTATTTTTGTGTAGCTGCCCAGGCAATTTGGCCTATTTAAATTTTCAACACTAAATATTACCGAGATAAAGCTATTAAACAATAGAAAAGGAGAAAAATTAGATGGAAAAAACCCTTTAACATCAAGTACTGTAGCAATCCACAATAAGTGTTAAGAAAAAAAGTGAAAGAGATCCTGATCTTGCAATCATATCAGTGCACACTTAATTTTATGTTATTGGGAATATTCCCAGTGAGCTCATTCAATGAGTTCCAAGGGACTATTTGTAAAGCACAGTCAAGCAGGTGCTTTAAATATTGGAAACAAGCTGGATTTCTCCAGACCAACTTTGTGTTTTAAAATATTCTGATTTATATTTGCTTTATTGTTATATGGAATCTAACAAACTATCTAAACAGCAGAAAACTATACATCAAAAGATGAGTGCATCATATATTTGAGGCTGCAGGTCTGTTGCACCCATGATTTCTGTGACCTAGGGTTTTTCCATTAAGGTGAAAGGAGATGAAGGGCAAAATATGCTGCTACAACTCTGCAATATGATTCTGCTTGTTTATAGTTAAATCCATTTAACCTGCACATATACCCCACTGTACCAGTCTGTAACATAAAGCAGCAATTTACCCAAATTTCAGATGGACACAACTATAATATACCAATATTACAGTAAGTCTACTGAATTTGTTGCAAGTCTGCAAACAAACAACTTAAAATTGAAATTGTTTGAACATAAGAATACCTAACCTTTTTATTCAGCTTCAGCCACGTTGAATAGCCTTTGCTGTCCACATACTGCAGCCCAAAAAACCAAACTTCACGGAGTCCAACTGTTTTCACCACCTAAAAATAAATGAATTGTTATGTCAACAAAATCAGGTCACCAACTGGAATTGGGTGGGTTGAGTCCACATACATTCAGTATTAAATGCCACATAAAACAAGGTTTTGTGAACGTGTCATAAAATGCCATACATGATGCATAACTCTCAAATCAAGAATGAATAGCTGACAGTAATCATTGCAGCCTCTTCCTCCAAGTTATATAGTGTTTTTTCTTTAAAATACCACCAGTCAGAACAACATGAAATGTCTCCTCTGATCAGGATGCAAAGATGTTTGCAGATGGAAAAAAAGGAATCACAAGACAAGACCATGTAAACCAAGCATCTTGTTTCTTTTCGTACAAGACTATGAAAACATAGGAAAAGGAAACCAGGATAAAGATGTGGGGGAAGATGACAACGAACATAATTACTGGTAAGTAATCCTTTGTTTAATGTCTCCTCTTTCCCCATCCTATAGCAAGAGAAGACAAGCAGCATTATTTCTGGTGGAAGTGAGCTCAGGCCAACATCTAAGGCACTGCCTTTGTGATCACTTAAGATAGTGATGCCCCAGCCAAAAACCACAGAAAGCAAGATGTCATCTTTTCATTAAGACAAAAGAATCATCTCAACCCTTAGATATTAAATAATGCAATGATACCATTATCTACAGACACACACAGTTAGGATGTATTATTTTATGAAATGTTTAAAGTATCAGAAACTACAGAACAAAGTTAAATTCCATATGCAAGGTTAGGTGAGCAAAACAAAGGGAAACTAAATAAGTTAATTATCTTAAACTGAGAAATAGCAGAAAAAGTAACAATGGTTTGGAAGGCTGTCCCATTGTAAAAAGGGATGATGCGAGTTTCTATGAATGGATTTAAAATGTTGTTACATAAAGATGCATATGCCTGTCTACTCCCACAAGATTGTATTGTCTCATCTGTCAAGAACTGTTCAAGTGGATTGCTTATTCATGAACAGGACTCTTTATACACCCCATGGCTAAAAGCAAAAGTTTGGAAAGCTTTGAGATGTAGTGTGGCTCAGTAAATACAATAAAAGTCTCCTATATTAAGTATCTGTATTCCAGACCTAATTTGTACAACCTTTCAACTGGTTATCAGAAAATGCTTAAGGTACTCTGAATATTTCAGAATTATTAACATCAGTTAGCAAAAGACACAAGTCCAAATACTTGCTCTCTTGGTTTCTATTTACTTGTCTCTTGTCCAAAGGTCAGACCCAGGTGGGGAAGATGAGACTATGCCTGTCTTGCATCAGGCAAAGGGATGGGATCACCAGCTGAGTCAAGAAAGTTGTTGAAGGAACCTGCTCTGACATACTCTACACCAGCAGTTTCCAACGCAGTGCCCATGGGTGCCATGGCGCCCCCCCCCCCGAGGTTTATTCAGGTGCCTATGCACATTTTCACAATCAGTAAAAATCATTATTCCAACAAAAAATGTTGTCATGCTGGCACCCACCGCTTTTTCTTTTAAATTTGAATGTGTCCTTGGGCACATAAATGTTGGGAACCCCTGCTCTACACTATGATGGCTAATTAGATCCATCAATTATGAATATGGCCAAAGTGGTAATGTTGTAACACCATGACCATTACATGAGGCTAAAAGGTTAATGCAATATACTGGTACAGAGTTAACCTTGAAAGCCAACTGGGCAACAATTACTATAAGGACGTGCATCTTCCTCTGTTTGGTAGTGATAGCCACACTGTTCAAAACCATGATGTTTGTTTAGCAGCACAATTTAGGTACTGAAGTTGCCCTATGAAGCTACACTTCTGGATGAAATATTTTCTCTTCCTGTAAAGGCATGGCAGTTGAGATCTGCCAAGACATTCAAGCTAATTATTTTCAATTTAAATATCTAGAAACTAACTGTAGGAACTACCAGAAGGTGTGAAAGCCACCAAACACATGGAGTTTGGTTAAGAACATGGTACAGTATGTGGTGAAGAGAGGTTTTGCATCTGTACCTTAGTCCCCCTATTCAAGAAAACTACTGGATGGACACTGGAGAAGACTTCCTGGAGTAGGTAGTTATCCCCCAAAATTGCCTAGCTAGAGATAGCATAGACTGGCAAGAGAGAAGTCACAGCTGTCTTCTTATGCCAGAGGATGGTATCATTTTTACTTGGGGTTGATATTGGCAACTCACCCATTCATCTTAGGGAGCAGGCAGGATGGCTGCCCTGTCCCCAAAAATTCTCTGCCCTGCAACACTTGTGAGTAATTGAAGAGACTGTTTTAGATCATTTTTAATTCCTTTTTTCCTTTCTTCTAGAAGTCTTGTTTCCCTGTTTCTCCAATCAGGAACTGGAAGAAAAAAAGAGCATGAATGCTGAAGTATTACTCCACAGTTCCAGTACGGAATGGCAAAGACTAGAGAGGAAGCAGTGCTTGGTTAATATACACGATATAAATGACAGTCTTTAATCTACTCTCTGCTTACAGGGTGAAGATGTACCACTCTTAGTACTGACTTGGTTATCAGAGGAGACAAATCATGCAATTCACATTTAAAACAGATGGCAAATGAGATTTCGGCCCTTCCAAAAAATCAGGCCAGACTTTATGTTGCTAAAGTAATTCCCTCTGTGAAGGTCTATACTAGCATAGCGCTATACAACAACTCTTTATTATATCATTATTATAAAAAACTATTTTAAAAAGGACTTGTCATTAGCCATATATTGGAATCGCATCACATGTCTGCAATTGTGCCATTTTCCCT